AACTGAAAGGAATTATACAGAAGGAAACATAAAGATCAGAATATGAATAAAAAAGATTTGCTCTGCTGGAAATATTTCTCTTAGGTTGAAATATTATTAAGATTCGCTAACATGCACAAGTTTTGAAGTAAGGAATAAAATGAAGGTTAGAACTCATTCATTCATTCATTCATTTATATAACAAACTTACATGGATTAGTTTTTATAGGACCAGGGAATTGAGGACTGAAAATTTTCCAGGGGAGAGGTCTATGAAGTAGCAAAGAAAAAGAAGAAAAAAAGGAAGTATAAGTTCCAAGTTTCAATTGCAAAAATTGAAACACTCCAAACTTAATGACTTAAATACAGCAGGTATTTTATTGTTATCAGCTCTCAAAGTTCAGGTGATTGACTATGTTTAGTTAGGAAGTTCTTGTTCAGTCTCTAATGTGTTTGCAAACACATAGTAGGTGGGACTAGAATTATCTCACAGGCTTTCCCACTTGCATATTGGTGGTTCTTGGTGCTTGTTGACTGGGATTTCAGCCAGGGTTGTTCACCAGAACATCCCTGGACTCTTCACATGGCCTGGGCTTCCTTACAGCATGGCAGTTGGGTTTCAAAAAATAGCATCTTAAAGAGCTAGATGGATACACTAGCTCTTTCATGTCCCAGCCTCAGAAGTCATATAGCATCATTTCTGCCACAGGTACAGGCCCTCTCAGATAAAAGGACAGAGAATATAGACCCTGCTTCTTTATAGGAAAAGTATTAATGCCAGGAAGGGCATGTGGGATGAAAGAATTTGTTCCCGGCATTTTGGGAAATACAATCTGCCACTGGTAAGGTCAATCCAGTTGTCAGAATGAAATCTTGTTGAGGAATTAATATTTTCAAGCCTGGGGTAGACATCAATACAAGAAAGCATCTGATTGAATGGGTGATTATATAACATGCATATTAATAGCAGAAAGAGTGAGAAGGATGAAGGATTTAGAGAGGTCTGAAGGGTCCAAGCAGACCTCGTGGAGGAATAGGAACTTGAGCTACATTGGTAGTCTGGGGAAGGTGCATTTAGTTATGTTAAACTTATATTCATCTTCTCTGCTCCTAGAAAAGAAATGATAATAAAAAATTATAATTATGGATAATTCTTCTATGCTGAGACTGCTACTTAACATTCCCATATGTATCCCCCACCCCCAGATTTTCTTCCCCTAGGAATATATTCGAAACTATATATTTGGAATCTTCCCTAACTTTTTCACTTACAAAATTTGGTGAATTTTTTAAACTATTAAATATTTGTCTAAAATATAATCTTGAATGGCTGCATAGCA